CAGGGACGCATTGACATACGAAGAGGCGCCATGAAATCTGGGGAAACATCATGGCGCCGACCACGATATCCCCCCCCTATCATCACCCCCCTCTAGGCTACCCCCGAACCTTCCCACCCCCCTCACTGAAAGCACCGGGTCCCAAACATGCGACGTCCTGATTTTTTTCATTACGGGGTCCCTGGAAGTCCCGACCCTTTCCCCGGGACCGGTTTCTCGACCCGAGTCGTCTTCTGACGGCCCCGAGGCCCGGCGAGGGCCCCCCGAGGCCAAAATTGGCCCCAAACCTCCCGTCCCGACTTTTTCGCGACGCGATCATGTCTGGGGGCGGAGGGGCGGCGGCATCGGGGCGCCAGCCGGGCGGGACACCCGCCGCCGCGGCGGCCGCCCCCAGGGCGGCCGCCACGGCCCCCGCGCCGCCGGCGGAGCGGCCTTGGCGGGCCTGCGGCAGGCGAGGGCTTGGGCGTCGCCGCCGCTGAGCCGGCGACGCCGTCGCCGCCGCTGAGCCGGCGTCGTCGGCGTGGTCGCGAACGAAGACGTGGTCGTCGTCGTCGTCGTCGTACACGGCCTCGACGTCGTCGCCGCCGTCGTCGTCGTCGTCGTCGTCGTCGCCGTCGTCGTCGTCGTCGTCGTCGTCGTCGTCGCCATCGTCGTCGTCGCCGTCGTCGTCGTCCTGCTCCTCCTCCTCCTGCTCATCCTCCTCCTCCTGCTCATCCTCCTCCTCCTGACATCCTCATCATCATCATCAACATCATCATCATCATCATCATCATCATCATCATCATCATCATCATCATCATCATCATCATCGTCAGCATCATCATCACCATCATCGTCCTCATCATCATCGTCATCATCATCATCATCATCATCGTCGTCGTCGTCATCATAATAATCATCATCAGCATCAATAAGCATCATCATCAGCATCATCATCATCATCTCAATATTCATCTTCATCTTCATCATCATCACCATCACCATCATCATCATGTTGATAACCATCAGCAGCACCATCACCACCACCGACCTCACAATCATCATCATCATCATCATCATCATCATCATCATCATCATCATCAACAATATCATCATCACCACCACCACCATCATCATCATCATCATCATCATCAGCATCCTCATCATCATCATAATTTTCAACATCAACATCACCATCATCAGCAGCAGCATCACCATCAATACCAGCGCAAGGCTCATCATCATCAACAACATAATCATCACCATCATCCTCATCATCTTGAGCATCATCATCATTATGATGCCAATTACCATTATCATCATCATTCCCAGCATCATCATCGTAATCATCATCATTCGCAACAGCATCAGCATCAGCGTCATCATCATTATCAGCACCACGATCACAATCACCATCACCATCATCATCATCATCATCAACATCATCATCTTCATCACCATCACCACACGCGCAAGACTCATCATCATCTCCATCGTCCTCATCATCCCCATCATCTTGGTGCTGACAACCAGTATGGTGACGACAGTCACCATCATTACCATCATCATCATGGCGATGGCAATCACCACCACCATCATCATCATCATCACCAGCATCATCGTAATTATCATCATTCGCAGCATAATCAGCACCCTCATCAGCATCAGCATCACCATCAGTACCTGCGCAAGACTCATCAGCATCATCACCATCCTCCTCATAATCATCCTCAGCGCCACCATCATTATGATGACAATAGACATTACTATTAGCATCATCCTTATTTGCATCATCAACAGCATCATCATGAACAACATCACCATCATCGTCCTCATCATCATTGTCATCATTAGTACCATGACATTTTCTAACGTCATCATCATCATCGTCATTATCATCACCAGCATCAGCATCAACGTCATCATCAGCAGCATCAGCATCATCAACATCATCATCAGCATCATCATCGCCATCATCACCATCATATGCAGCATCATCACCAGCATCAGCATCAGCATCAGCATCATCATAAGCATCATCGTCATCATCATCATCATCATCATCATCATCATCACCATCATCATCATCATCATCAACATGTCTCCTTCTAATTTACGTTGCGCGGACTGACGCACAAATGGGCTGAAGCGTCAGCCTCGTCCTCCTTAGTGTTCCTCCTTCCACCTTCCACCTTCTCCTGGACACAGGGAGCTTGGTGGAACCGGTATCAGTGATCAGGAGCGCTTCAGTAGGCAAGGCAATGAGTATGCAGATGTCTCGGTCAAGGTGGGGGCCGTGGTCCACCCCAAACCAGCGCCCAATGTCCAAGATCGCACCAATTTCTACATCAGCAACAGCATGATGGTGCTGAAACTGGCCGCCAAACTCCTTCCGCTCTGGCCTAAGTGTGGCCTCTCAGCGGTAGGGTACTGGAAGCCCCCACCCCAAGCCAAGTCGACTGCAGCGGCCCCAATACTGGGCCTGGCTGGGTTCCTGGTGGCGCCGCCTTGTCTTCAGGGAAGCGGGGTGACAGTCGTCCTCCCCCAAGCCGCTGCTTCAAGGCCCCCTTGACCTCATACTGCATTGATTGCCCGCACAAAGCATTGCGGTGCAGTGGTGGAATGCTCAGACGGGTCTGTCTGTTGTTTCTGTCTCGTTTGCCACGTTTACCATACGGGTGGCTGGGGGGAAACAATGCCAGAACAGCAAAACGTTGCCAAGTACAGGACGTACGGCTTGTCTCGTTTCCCCACTCCTCCGTTGTTGGGTTTTCGTTATGGATAGAGTAATGTGGTCGTCTCTCTTCTCTTGTCTTGTACCTCTCTCGTACCTGCCTCCGACCTCGCCATCCCTGGGGGGGGCTGCGATCTGCGAAACCGTCGCCACTTTCGAGGGTTGCTCGGGAGGGGGCCAGAACAATGACACTAGACGCAGATTCAGATTAGGCCTCGCCGTCCCTGGGGGGTTATGATCTGTAAAGCTGTCGCCACTTTCGAAGACTCCTGGGGGGGCCAGCACAATTACGCCAGACTCTGAGTATCTCAATTTCTTTGGGCCCCTGGAGTACATGGGGCACCCCAGACTTCAAGGGCCCCTCCCCTGGACTACAGGCGCCCCCCCCCCCAGACGACAGCCCCCCCCCCCCCAGACTACAAGGACCCCTCCCGAACTACAAGGGCCCTCCCCCCCTACAGGGACCACCCCCCCTGACTACAAGGGCCCACCTCAGGACTTCAGGCACCCTCCCAGCACAAGTGCTACGAATAGCCAGCGGTCGAGGTTGGCGCCTCTGTCTCGGATAGAGGCTCCTTGTACGCGGGCGCGCGAGCGTGCCCGCGCACAGCCGCGGAATCACTGGCTTGCCCGCCAGACGACACGATTGCGCACTTGCTCGCGCACTGCGCGTTGTCTGCGTTGCGTGTGGCGCTGCGGCTGCTGAGCGCTGCACGGCCTGCGCGCGCGACAGCGCACGAGCGCCCATCCCGCGCGAACCAGTGCCTGGCCACAGCTCGGGACATGGCTCTCCAATTGGCCTGCAGAGGGACGCAATAGAGCAGCGACAGTTGCATGTTTGGCAGCGCCCACCACGGGCGACATCGTCGTCGTCGTCGTCGTCGTCGTCGTCGTCGTCGTCGTAGTCGTCGTCGTCGTCGTCGTCGTCGTCGACGTCGACGTCGACGTCGACGTCGACGTCGAGCGGAACACCAAACCACGAAGATCAACGCATCACCCCCCCGGGACTACAAGAACCCCCCCAGACTACATGGGCCCCCTCCATCCGGACTATCAAGCCCCCCCCCGGACTACAAGGGCCCCCCCAAAACTTCTACAGGGACACCACCGCGCCCCAGACTGCAAGGCCCCCCCTTGATTACAGGGCCCCCCAGCCCCCCCCCGCCCCCCGGGACGATTCGACACACCAAAGAACAATTCAGGTACTCAGAATACGCGGATTCAGATTAGACCTCGCCATCCCTGGTGGGCTGTGATCTGCAAACTGTCGCCATGTTCGAGGGCTGCTGGTGGGGGGTGGGGCAGCATAGCCTGGGCCCTATCCAGATTCAGACTGAGCCTCGCCATTCCTGGGGGTCTGCGATCTGCGAATCTGTCTCAATTTTCGAGGGCTTGCTGAAGGCAAGCACCCCCAGCTGAACAAGAGGGAGAGGAACATCAAGTTTCTTCCCTCGCCCGTGTCCTCTTATATGTGCTGATTGGAGAGCGTCGCGGAAAAGCAAAAAAAACCTTCCAAATGTTCCTCCATCTCCCCCCCCCGCCCACCCCCACGTCGATGGGGCCAGAACCGGCATAAAAACTTAGACCCGTTTCCCTCCCCTGATCTCTGGAGTCGCGACCTTCTCATGTAATTACCTTTCTCTTGAACCAATTCCTCATCTCTTGTCGACTTCAACGGCCCCGGAGCCCCGCAAGGGCCCCCCGAGGCCGGGGATGGACAAGAACCGTCGCCGCGACTTTTTCGCAGCGGCCGAGCTTTGGACCAGGACCCCCTTGCCTCCATGGCGCACGACAGGTCAACACATCCTCCGATAGGATTGTTTCAGTCCGAGGGTCACTTACAATACTTCTTCAGATCCACGCTTCGTGGCCTGCGGGCGATCACGAAGGTTTATTTTTTGGGCGCCGCTGCAGACTGCCAGGCCGTGCTCGCGAACACGCGCGCGTGAAACCCCCTGTTTCGATGCGCTCCCGGAGTGGCGCAAGCGCGGCCGTCTGTATCTCGCTGCCCGGTGACATGTTCTGCGTCGAGTCGGCAACGACAATGACGTGCAGAAGCAAAGCCCCGTAAAGAGAAGGTGCCCTGCGAGAAGGCCGACGAGCGCGGCGACAGCGGCGGAGCGATGCAGCTGCGAACGCGGAAGGTCCCGCTGCGCCCCTTGGGCGCAGGCAAGCCGCCCGGCCCCATGGGCCAAGCCCCCGACCGTACCCCTCGGCCAATGCAGGCCTCGGGAGAGCGGGGAAGGAGAGGAGGGGCAGGAGGAGGCGACGGGATGGAGCCTGCGCGTCACTGCACGCTGCAGCCCTTCTGGTGGAACTTCTGGTGGTGTCTCTCCGCGTCGTGCCAGGTCTCCATGCGCGCGGCGTGGACCTCCGGGGCGCCTCGTCTGGCGCGTGCCTGCAGGGCCTTCTTCTGCTCCTCGTCGTGGTACCAGACTGCCGAGTGGTGCTGCGTCTTGGTCCCAGCCTGCACAGCTTCCCCCCCAGCAAACGCCAAGCCCACTGGCGCTGGCGTGCGCTCGCGAATGCGGTCAAAGTGAGTGAGGAGCTCGTCGTAGGTGATCAGCTCAGGGTCGAATTCTACGCGGATTGCTTCGGAGTGCCCGTCCCCAAGTTGCACGCTCTCGTGCGTCGGCTTGCTCAGCGTGTTACCGCCAGCGTAGCCGACCGTGGTGCTGAGGACCCCGCTCACCCTGTCGAACAGCTTCTGCGACTCCCAGAAACAGCCCGTCGAGAACGTCGCGACCTGGCGCGGCCGCCGTGCGGCATCCGTGATGGTCTGGACGACGCTCGCCAGCAGCCCGGAGTAGTCGGGCAGGCCCTCCTCTGGCGGGCGGAACCTCGAGATCACCATGGACTGCACCTCGGCCGGCTGCCTCGCCAAGAGCTCGAAGGCGCCGTCGTCGACGGGGTAGCGCCCGCGGAAGGCGGCCAGCCGCTCCCCCTCGGCGGGCGCGGCGGGCGCCTCCCCGCGGCCGCGCCCGGCGCAGGGCGCGCCCGAGCTGCGCGGCCCGAGCGCGCGGTCCTCTTGCTGGAGGCGCCGCAGCGCCTCGACGGCGGCGAGCCGCGCCCGCTCCACCTCCTCCGGCGACTCGTCCTTGGGGCGGAATCGAGCCTGCTTCCTGCAACCTTTGTCTGGGCCGTTCTTGATGTAGTACTGAACACACCACGCCTGGTTTCTTGTGTCCCAGAATATGTACTTGACGCCGCTCTGGCGCTCCGCGCTGACATAATGGGTCCGCCTGAGCTTGCCGAGCTGGTCCTCCCCCTCGAGCCGCCGCATCGCCTCGACGGCGGCGAGCCGCGCCCGCTCCACCTCCTCTGGTGACTCGTCCTTGGGGCTGAATCGAGGACACATCATGCAACCTTTGTCTGGGCCGTTCTTGATGTTGTACTGAACACGCCACGCATGTTCTGGTTTGCACCAGGAGATGTACTTGACGCCGCTCTGGCGCTCCGCGCTGCCGCAACGGGCCCGCCCGAGTTCGCCGAGCTGGTCCTCCCCCTCGAGCCGCCGCAGCGCCTCGACGGCGACGAGCCGCGCCCGCTCCACCTCCTCCGGCGACTGGTCCTTGGGGCGGAATCGAGGCTGCATCACGCCACCTTTGTCGGGGCCGTTCCTTATCGTGTACCGAAGATGCCACGCCTGGCGTGTCTTGTGCCAGACGATGTGCTTGATGCCGCTCTGGTGCTCCGCGCTGCCGCTGCGTCCAGAAGGGGCCCGCCTGAGCTCGCCGAGCTGGTCCTCCCCCTCGAGCCGCCGCAGCGCCTCGACGGCGACGAGCCGCGCCCGCTCCACCTCCTCCGGCGACTCGTCCTTGGGGCGGAATCGAAGACTCGTCACGCTACCTTTGTCCGGGCCGTTTTTTATCCTGTACTGAACACGCCACGCCTGGTTTTGTTTGCACCAGGAGATGTACTTGACGCCGCTCTGGCGTTCCGCGCTGCCGCGCCTGAGCTCGCCGAGCTGGTCCTCCCCCTCGAGCCGCCGCAGCGCCTCGACGGCGGCGAGCCGCGCCCGCTCCACCTCCTCTGGCGACTCGTCCTTGGGGCAGAATTGCGGCAGCTTCACGCCACCTTTGTCTGGGCCGTTCTTGATCCTGTACTTGACACGCCACGCCTGGCCACTGTTGTACCAGACGATATGCTGGACGCCGCTCTGGCGCTCCGCGCTGCCGCTGCGTCCGGAAGGGGCCCGCCTGAGCTCGCCGAGCTGGTCCTCCCCCTCGAGCCGCCGCAGCGCCTCGACGGCGACGAGCCGCGCCCGCTCCACCTCCTCCGGCGACTGGTCCTTGGGGCGGAATCGAGGCTGCATCACGCCACCTTTGTCGGGGCCGTTCCTTATCGTGTACCGAAGATGCCACGCCTGGCGTGTCTTGTGCCAGACGATGTGCTTGATGCCGCTCTGGTGCTCCGCGCTGCCGCTGCGTCCAGAAGGGGCCCGCCTGAGCTCGCCGAGCTGGTCCTCCCCCTCGAGCCGCCGCAGCGCCTCGACGGCGACGAGCCGCGCCCGCTCCACCTCCTCTGGCGACTGGTCCTTGGGGCGGAATTGAGGCTGCATCACGCCACCTTTGTCCGGGCCGTTCCTTATCGTGTGCCGAAGATGCCACGCCTGGCGTGTCTTGTGCCAGACGATGTGCTTGATGCCGCTCTGGTGCTCCGCGCTGCCGCTGCGTCCAGTAGGGGCCTGGGCCCGCCTGAGCTCGCCGAGCTGGTCCTCCCGCTCGAGCTGCCGCAGCGCCTCGACGGCGGCGAGCCGCGCCCTCTCCACCTCCTCGGGCGACCCGTCCGTCGGGCGGAATCGAGGCTGCTTCTTGCAACCTTTGTCTGGGCCGTTCTTGATAATGTACTGAATATGCCACGCCTGGCCTTGTTTGCACCAAGAGATGTGCTTGACGCCGCTCTGGGGCTCCGCGCTGCCCGCGCCGACGTGCCTGGCCGCCGCTACAGCCCGCGCCCCGCGGCCGGGGCCGGCGGCCGCAGCCTGCGGGCGCGCCCCGCGCACCGGGGAGGGCCCCGCGGCTGGCCCGGCGAAGGCCTCCAGCAGGGCCGCGTGCCCGCGCCCCGCGGCCGCCGCCAGGGCCGCGCCGACCGCTCCCGCGGCCGCGACGCGGCGGCCGCGCCGGCGGCAGGGCATAGCGCGCCACTCGGAGCGCAGCGGCGGGCCCGGCGGGCGAGCGAGCGGCGCGGGCCGGGTGCTGGATCCGGGCCTGGATGCGTGCCCGAGCCTCCCTAACTTGAGCCAGAATGGCTACGGAGGGTGATCACGGAGACTCCCTGAGGTCGGAATCGCTAAAAAAGAAACGCCATGATTGAGCAGAGCATGTCGATCGTCGGAGACCTGGCTTTCGGGTCATAGCGCGGGTCTCTGGCGGCCGATCGGGGCGACGGTACTCGGGCACCCTATTTAACGCTTCTCGGCGAGGCGCGCAGCCGCCGAGGCTGGAACGCCGCCGAGCGCCGACGAGAACGGCCGACAAAGACCTCTGACCCGAGATCGCTGCAGAGCAGGCGCAATTGGTGGAGAGACTCCCGAGGCTGGAAAAGCCGCCGAGTGTCGACGAGAACGGCTGACGAAGACCCGTGACCCGAGATCGTTTCAGAGCAGGCGCTAGAGCAGGCGCAGAGCAGGCGCTCACTGCAAAACGGCACCCGCAGAGATGGCGAGGAGGCTCACTGGCACAGGCGTTGGTGTCCAGCGGACGCATCGCAAGCTTCATCAATTACTACCCAGCGCGCCCAGATGTTTTTCAAAGGGCATGGTGGTTGGCCGCAAACCTCATGGGCACTAGCTCACAAGCTGATTTGCGTGTGAGCGCACCCTGATGCTCCAGACTTGCGACGTCCTGATTGTTTCAATACGGGGTCCCTGGAAGTCCCGATCCTTTCATCGGGTCTGGTTTTTCATCCTGAGTGTTTTTTTTTGACGGCCCCGAGGCCCGGCGAGGGACCTCCGAGGCCGAAAATTGCTAAAAACCGTGCCTTCAGATTTTTCTATACGACGCGGGCACGTCTGGGCAGCGGATTTGCAGATGGGCGCACCCCGATGCTTCCCACGGCACCGGCTGCCCCGTGCCACTCGTGACCCCTACCTTAGGTCAGGCATGTCCTCCTACAGGCGGATCTTGGAGGACAAAAATTAAACATACAACACATTCAAACATAATCACCAACAACATGCCGAAATATCGCAGACTAGTTTTTGATTATGCTTGAATGTTCCTCCTGTAGAGGGACATGTCCGATGTAACCCCAACTGAGGAGGGGGGGAGTCCCAGCCGAGCCAGCCCCCGCGGCAGCCCAGCCTCGCCGACCTCCTGCGCAGAATGCCCACCGCCGGCAAGGCCGCCGCCGCCTCTGGCGCCGCCGCCGCCGCCTGCTCGGGCGTTCGTGCAGGGGGGAGGATGAGGAGGAGGAGGAGGAGGAGGAGGAGGAGGAGGAGGAGGAGGAGGAGGAGGAGGAGGACGAGGAGGGAGGAGGGAGGAGGAGGAGGAGGAGGAGGAGGAGGAGGAGGAGGAGGAGGGGGAGGAGGAGGAGGAGAGGGAGGAGGAGGAAGGGGAGGAGGAGAAGGAGGAGGAGGAGGAGGAGGTGGAGAGGAGGAGGAGGAGGAGGAGGAGGAGGAGGAGGAGGAGGAGAGGAGGAGGAGAAGGAGGAGGACGACGAGGAAGAGGAGGAGGAGGACGACGACGACGACGAGGAAGAAGAGGAGGAGGAGAAGGAGGAGGAGGAGGAGGAGTAGGAGGAGGAGGAGGAGGGGTGGGCATATACGGTCGGTCGGAAGCTTCTGCTTGGCGTGCCACGTGGCGGCCCTGGCGACACGCTGGGCCCTGCACGCGGATGGCGTGTCGCTCCACCCCGCGGGGCGGGACGCTGCGGTTAGGCTCGGGGCGTGGACGCCAAGGGGGGAGGGGCATGGGGAATGGACAGCGTGTCGCGCCGAGGCGCGGTGGGCCAGGACCGGGGGAGCGAACGCGCTGTCCAAGAGGTCCCGACGGCAAGCGCGGGGTGAAGAGACGTGCGCCCTCCGGGGGCCCGCGGTGGCAGGTGTGGGGCCTCCTCGAGGGCCCCTTCGGGGCTACAGTTTTCTGCAACCCTCGAACCCTCTACTTGGCGGCGCGCACAAATGGGGTAGGGGGGGAGGCTTCCCAAAGGAGGCTGCTTCTTAGAAGGCACCGGTCCTTCATCTGCAGAGAAGGCCCGCGCCTTCTAAGAAGCGAAGAGTGCTTCTAAGAAGCCCCATCCCCCTCCCCCTACCCCCCTCGGCGCGTGGCTGACCCGTGTTGCGTTGCCGTTTTCCCGACCTGCGGCGCCGCGGCGCCTGCGCCGGCGGCCCCCATGCGCGCGCGTGGTGGGCGCACGCTCGAGGGGCGCGCGCGCGCGCGGGCGCCAGCCCAGAGGGGGGGGTCCTTGCGCCGAGGGCCGGTGGGCGCCGCAGAAAGGGAGGGGCTGGGGAGGAGCAGCGGGGGGGCGCCATTTGGGCGCTGCTGGAGGGGGAACGAAGAGGGGGGGGGCGGCCAGACGTGCACCTTTCGCATCATTGTCGGGCCCGGGAGGGCCCCTTGAGGGTCCTGAAAATGCACGGAAAAATACACCTCTCGTCCCCCGCCCGTGTAGCGGCACCCCAGCACGCGTCGCACGAGCCATGGGGCTCCTGGCTGCCGCCGGGGTGCCTGCGTCCTCCCCGTGCTCCTACTCGTCACGCTGCTTGCCTGCTCCTCCTCCCCCTCCTCCTCATCCGCCGCCTCCTCCTCCTCCTCCTCGTCCTCCTCCTCCTCGTCCGCTTCGTGTTCGTCCTCGACATCCTCCTCATTCTGCTCCCTCATCCAGTGCCTGTTCGTCCTTCCACTGTTGTTC